CCCCACAGCCGCCGGCCCAACAAACCCACAGAGACCCCCCTCTTAGACTTCTGAGCCCTGGTTCCTTGTGGAATGAAAAAGCGTGGACCTAACCCCATCCTTCTAAGACCTGTTCACCTGTTTTCCCCTATGCACTATTTCCTCATGCGCACACGCACACACACACACACACACACACACACACACGCACACACACACACACACACGCACACACACACACACACGCACGCACGCACACACACACAAACAAAGAAAATTAGCTATGTCTAGACACTTTGCACAAATAAACTGCAAAGGGAAAATAAAACGATAAAGAACAGCATAATAATACAGTAATAGTTTCACTTTGTTGTGCATTGTCCTTTTCGTCGTAAGGGTGCTTGGGTTTTTTTGTTCTTCGTAGATGGAGACGCTCGTCTTGTGTTTCTGAAACACCCTTGAATAAAAACATACACTTAGCTACATTTAGCATGGCATACGTGTGCGTCCATCAGTCCACCTGTATATGCACATGTTCACCACAAACCGTAGCCCCCAGTTCGCACCTACAGGCCAAACCCACTCAGCTCGCGTGACTTCTTGAACCGCCCCGCGCACCATGGATTGGCAGTGGAGCGACATTCGGACACCTCCCTCTGATATGTTATGCCCCCTGGGCATGCGCAATTACTCTGGAGAGACAACGAGCGTCACCACTGGCCGTCACGTTCTGTGCCCAGACTGCTGTTGGTACTGCGAGGGAACACCACTCCCCCTACTGGTGGTGTGCTGTAATGCAAGCTCCCCATCACATTTCCTGTTCATGGCTCACTCTCCTCTTTGTTCTCCTCCTCCACCTCCATACATTTATTATTGGAGTTGTTTACTCCTACGCTCAGTGCTGTACTCCTTGATAATCATTTTTATTTTTGAAACACATCCCTTGACTTCAGAATCCCGATGCGTTATCAGAGTAACTGCATCTCTCACACTCACTGCCAACCCTCCCCCCCATGTCCGCTTCCCCTAACACCCTTGCCCGATGACCCCTCGGGTCCAGCTGAGGGACGTGCCGTTTGCAGCCACACGACGCGAGCAATAAAGTTTGTACAAAACCTGCCAAGCAAAATAAAGCCGTAAGCAATAATCTGTACGTGAGGGACCATGTTAGTGTGCCGTGTGATGTTTCAATAAAGTAAAACATTACGGACACCAGCTCTGCTCTGTGGCCTTGCTGTCCTTCGTGACGCCTCCCTCAGCCTCCTTCTTGCAGGCCGTCTCTTCTGTTTCCACTTGCATTTCTACGTTTTTTCATTCATTTTTACTTCTCCCCCCCCCCCCCCCCCCCCCCGCTTTGTTTTCACAGTCGTCCGGGTAAGGGCAGCCCCTCTCGGCCCGAGAGCCCCCTTCCTCCGTTCGACTCCTAATCATAATTTCTGCCGGCTGTCCTCCTGCATCCCGCACCCCAACCCTCCTCCTCTCACTAGCACCCCCTATTGGTGTAGAAGATTACTTAAAAAAAAACAAAAACAAAAACAAGCAAACCAACAAAAAAATAACAAGAAGCCTGGACCCCACGCCCCCCTCCTCCCACTCCCACTACTCACCATGGAGACATTGTCCTCAATTTATGAAAAGAAAAATGAAGAGAAAACAGGAAGAGCCATGGAGACATTCCTGTGTGTTCCCCCCCGGACCCAGGGGAAACATCTAAATGATCACCCCCCCCACCCAAGTATCATGTGATGTTGTGATGTCCTGCACGGCTTGGAGAGCCTCCTGTAAGATTTGCCCCCTGCGCTTTTTTCTGTGACGGCGGACTGAGTACATCTGGTTCACTGTGAAACAGTCCCCGTGCGCCTCGACACCCCCGCAAGTCTTCACGTCCTCCCACCGTCAAGAGCTCCACTCCTTCATTAGCGAGATGTTTCTTTGCAAGGCGGGGCCAACGTAGAAAGTGCAATATCTCCACGGGAAGGCTTGGGTCAAGCTAACCGCTTTCATGCCAGACACATCATAGAGGTTCAGTCTACGAGGATGTGAAGACGGCGTCCGAAACTCGGGGCACCTTTGGCTTGCTGTGTCCGATGCGCCGACCTGGCAAAATCCCGGGGTGGAAAAATATCATTCCAAGTCAGATGTCTTGTAAGTGTTCCAGTGTCTCTTTCTTGTCTCTCAGTGAATCAAGGGTCAAAAGACATTATCAGGTCAAAAAAATATTAAGTGTCTATGCATAGATTATTGCAATCGTTTGTTAAACATTCCTTGTCCTGTTGACATTGAGGACAAGGTAGACTTTGTGTCTTTGTGGTTGTTGTTCTCTGACCCTGTTTGTATTAATTGTTGGGCATGGCAACCTTCTCACATTTAAACAGCTGTGACAGGTCAATAAAAACAGCACCCCCTCCCCTGCACAAGCATCCAGCTCCACCAATCTTAGTGACATCATTTACAAATTAACTACGATTTAAGAGTAAATAGTTCTTTATGGGCATATCTTAAGTGTGTTACATATCTTTGTGGTGCATTATGGGAAATTGTGCTTCCACTGTTTAGATTAGTCGACATGTAAGATTAATGAATATTAAATTATTCTGAACACGTGAATATGTGTAAAGTTTTATGTATGATAACGTGGATAAAATGATCACAGTATATATTAAAAATGTGGGAATCTATTTTCAGTCAATATTACATATTGACACTGCTCAGCAGATGAGTAAAGAAAGGCTCCGCCCCCCTGGAGAAGGAAGAGCGAATGGGTGTTTATTTCAGCTGACGTGTCCTGTACCTTATTGCTGTTGGTTGAATGAGTCTGTGCAGCAAGGTGCTGTCAATTAAAACAAACAAACAAAAAAACGTGTACCAGCTGTTATGTGTGTGATTTCTTGCCTCCACCATCAAAAACAAGACAAGATGAGGTTTAAAAAAAGCAACATGCATCAATATAAGGAATGTACCAGCATCAGCGCACAATGTGTTGAGTCGGTTTAATTAGCTCAATCAATTTATTTAGAAGAGGGAAAAAAACTTACAGGATGAACCACATCAGAAATATACATCTGAGAGATTTAACCCCCCATAGTGTTTAAACAGTATTTTTCTTAAAGATGATTAGTTTTATTATTTCAAATAAATATATATTTAGTTACCATCTGTAATAAACAGACTGGCCCACTCAGGTCCCCCACTCCTACATGTCCCCAACACCACAGAACGATTAAATGTACAGATTCCAAATGCTAACCAGCCTGCAGGTGGAAAATAGCACCCCCCCCCCACCATTCACCGCAGACCACTGACTAAATGTACAATATGTTACAGTTAGAGTATTTACAGGAGAGAGGATCACCCTTCATTGTGATTCGAGTCACTGGCCATCGAGGGAAAAAAAAACAGTCACATTTGAGAACCTGTGGATGAGCTGTGACAAATTCAACATGTGCTGATTGGGTTAGCCCGTTACCAATGTGTGTGTATATATATATATATTATAAAAAAAAAAGCCATGAGACACACACACACACACACACACACACACACACACACACACACTCATGCAAGCCACGCCTCAAGTTCTCATCCGGTCTTCAGCTGTATCTCAACTCCATCTCCACATCTGCTCTTTTCAAGCCCAGGGTGCAAAAACTTGGACGTCCATAACCTCCATGCCCGCCAAAGGCCAGCACCCGATGGCTGCTATACTGGTGCCCGCAGACAAGATTCACACACGAATATTATGCTTTTCAAAGAAAGAGTAGCTGGATAATATTTTTGATATAAAGAGTATTCATGTACTCCAAAGGTAGTATATGACTAATATCACTCAGTTTCAAAACTTAGGAAAGGCCGACTTTGGAAGCATGGTGATAGGCTAACTCCATTATGAAGGTTGACCATTACATCCCACACCAGCTTAGTGATGTTAAGTCCAAACATATCATCTGTTCGGCTATCAGATCAGCTGGATGACCCAAATGAGTAAAACTCCCGGAGAACATCAATCAAACTGCGCACTGAGGAAAGACGAGCCAATCTCGCTCATTCTGACAAGCAATCATGCTGAAGGTGGGTCTGGTCCAACCTGCCCACCACAGCTGAATCAGCGGGTGAAATTCGGCAAAGGTTAACTGGAAGGTGAGGCAGAACATTAGACAGACATTCCTTCTGAGCTTCACTTTGTGTGCCATCGTAGATAGAAATGGAGATGACAGAGCAGAGACCAGGATCTTCAGTCCTCATTTCAGCCACACAAACTCGCAGGCAAATGGATTGAAGTCATTTCCTGCACAGATTAACTCAAAGATGATGCACAACCAAGCATCCCAGCTTGGGATCCCAGTCATCTGCTATGTCATGTTACAAGTTCAGTACAACCAAAGAGCAGCTTTCAAGGGCATCATAACCCTGCCTTATCAAATCCAGCTTCTACTCTTCATTGTCTGTGATTCCAGTTAATGATTCATCAAAACCAACCGAAGACTTTGCTTGTGTAATGTGACTTTGCTTAAAACGGATGGTCCAGCATGACTGACATTCAAAAAACAGAAGGTACTTCAGGCATAAACCAGGCCACAGACAAGACAAATAAATCCAGTCTTATGAGCTCCAATTGGAGCACATAGAAAAGTAAGCCAATACAAAAAGCCCAATTATTACCAAGCTCTGTTCTTCAAGCACATCGGAAGGCATTAGAACAGGCATTCCAGCATGTACCCGTTTCATGTACCCGTTCCACTTCCTCCACACATACTCATCGATAACTCATTGTATTATCCTCCATCTCTTCCACCTCTACCATTTGGTTGACATGCTCTAACCAATAAGGACTCACGCTTGACCCCTACACCCTGTGATACGCGAGAGGCAATCCTGTTCGTTGGGGGGCCTGAAATTCCACACTGTCCTTCAACCCAGTGCAGTTCTGCCCCACACTTTAATGAAACTACAATGGACTTAAAGCCAACTGGAGAGGAAAGAAAACTAATATCCACATCATCAGGGAGTAAATGCTCCCAGTCTGTTCTAATCAGATCTGCTCTGCTCTCATACACTATCAAAATCAAGCAGAACCCATATCGTAAAGTGCTTTTCATTGAAACAGTACATGTGCACAGAGATGGATACATACAAAAAAATTTGCACGAAGGTGTGGGGGGGGGGCACTCTGTCACAGTCTATAGTTCACAGCTGAAGTCACCTCTTTCTGTAGGCCTGTATTATGCCACCGTCTGTCCCATTTAAGTACCAGAGGGGGAGCTGGGCGGGACCACACACACACACACAATTCAAAGATGACATCACAATGACGTTACTGCTGCCATTGGATTTAATAAAGTGTGTGAGTGTGGGGTGGGGTGGAGTGGGGGGTTCCTCAAATCACACACTAGGACAGAAGCTTGGCAGGGTCTCGGAACCCCTACCCCAATTCATTTGCTTCACCCAATCACTGTCAGTCACTGAACAGAGACTCAGCCGCTGGCACCGTCCAATAGCAGGAACACATAACAGGCTGATCTGAGAGCAGGATGCTTGCAACATCTCCAGGGACTGGAAGGAGGAGGAGGATGAGGAAGGCCGTAGAAATGGAAGGGGGAATCCAGACGTAATCCCTTTTCAAGGAGGTGGGGAAGCTCTTAGACCACCAGGATCTTGACCTCATCATGCTCATCGGGACGGTAGAAGAACGGGATGCAGGGGTTCTCGCCCAGGAACGGCACCGGCTGGGGGTTCTGGATCTCCTGCAGCAGCTGCATGATTTGTCGAGCGGTGCCGTCCTCACGGGGGCGAAGCGTCGGCACCCCGGAGCTCTCCATCGTCCCCTGGGGGCCATCAACCTCTGACATGAGTGCGGGATCGGCCGCAAAGTCCACTGAGCTCAAGTCCATGGACTCTGCAGGTAAGGAGGATAGCGAAAAACGATTACATTTAGTAGTTGGATGGTGAGAAGATCCGCTGAATTAGATCATGGCAAGAGCACCAACCAAATTAAAACAGCCCCACAGCTCGAAAACTGACAAACATGAATTAATGTTTCAAAACCAGTTGTTGAAAACCAATACAGAGGAGAGAGTAATACATTTAAGGTAATGTTTCTCAACCCGGCCCTCGGAGACCCACAGACAGTCCACAGAATTGTTCCCTCTCAGCTCCCAGCACACCTGAACCAAACAATCCAGAACAGCCAGTTCCTGATAGAGTGTTTTGGGAGCTGGAAGGGAGCAAAAATGTCTTTGGGTCCCTGAGTACTGGGTAGAGAGAAACTGGCATAAAATATATTGTCGATTTAAAATAAGAAGAAGAAGAACAACAACACAGCATGACCACTGGGGGGCCCTCTGTAGACGGCGCACCTGGTCCGTCCACAGCGTTGAGCTCCATACGCCTGTGGGCGCCGAGGGCGGCCGTGGCCGTGCTGTCGGGCAGCAGGTCCGGGTCGCCCGTGATGCCCATATAGCGGCTGTGCCACTCGTTCCGCTCGTCCACCAGCCGCAGCACCAGCTCCTGCAGCTCCGCCAACTTGGCCTGGGGAGCAAACGCCACGATCATTCATTCTCCTACCCTTAGCTTACATGGGCTAGCCGGTAATCCTTCATACAGCTGTCATAACTGCAAACTGGTGGATGCACGGCCAGATCGCACACTCACTGCTGTCATGAAGTGTCAAAAGCATAAGCAACATTCCTAAAGCTGATTCTGATACGGAGAACAGTCCGGCAAAGCGTGGCCTCATCAGGGGCTGTACCTTCATCTCCTCTTTGTCTTTGGCCAGCATGTTGATGTACTGGTCCTTTTCCATGTGCCTCTGCTTCATGATGGCTCTTTGGTTCTGGTAGAGGGCGATGTACTCGCCTGCAGACAGACACACAGACACATGCAGCGTTATAAGCGTGGAATGCATCGCAGAACCAATACGTCTGCTTTCACCGAACTGGTCCGGTCACAGGACCACAACAGGACAGTTCATCCACAGCATGTTTTTTTTTTTTGTAGTCATGCGGTTTGTCCAGTGTGATGCTCCTATCTAACTATGTTTCATGCTATGGACAATGCTGATTTGACCTTACCTACCATGCTGTACCGAAAGCCTGCCTGATTCTGAATCTGGGTAAGTGGTTAAGAGAACTTTACACTTTTCATGACAACAGACCAATTTCTGGCCTAGAACCTGAAATGGATCTTTTGGACAGTTTCAGAACCACTTTACCCCCAACACCAGCTGTGCTCTTCAACACCAGAAGTTGTACAGGACTATATATTGTGATGTATTAGCCGTGTAAGCTGAAGTGCTGCAGGATCACACTGATCTACTTTAGGCCGGGTGACTGGGCTGCATTTCAGGAGCTCCGGGTGTTGTGGGACCGCCGCCCTCACCGATGGTGTCCGTCTCCCCGGACAGCTGGATGCAGCGGTGCTCCAGCTCCTCCACCCGCTCCTTCAGGTCAACCTTCTCCTGCATGAGGGTCGTGAAGCGCAGCTGCAGCTTCTCCATGGCCGCCCGCAGCGCCTCGTGCACTTCCACCGGCACGCCATCGGTGCTGGCCTCTGGAAGGGTCAGGGCCAACAATCGCCATGCATTAATGCATATGGAAATTAAATTATGTGATTAAAATTACTTTTGACTGCAATCAGTATAAGTGGTTGGAAGTTGGATGGGAAATAACTTTTGTACTCCAAAGGATTCTGGGATTGATGGCATAGGGGAGAATCCCTGCTCACTCTAAAACACCCGTGAGTAACCCCACCTGTGCTTGCATGGGGGCTGTGCTGCTGATGCTGCTGCTGCTCTTGACTCAGCGTCGCCACCTGGTGTAGGGCTGCCTGCCGCAGGCGCTGCTCCTCCTCCATCCTCCGGAGTG